GGGGTCCCTGACTTCCTGTAACATTTGCCTTTCTTGTTTGTTGAGAATTTTCTCAACCAATTTTAAGAAACATTTAAGAATTATTAAAATCTAAAAGATTTGAGGAGCTAATTGGCTAATGGGGAATCCAATTACAGTGTAGGATCCACTGATTTGAAGCCAAGGTATACTGTAAGAGCATGCTGATGGGTTGCTGAGGTTGGCTGAAGATGATAATTTGCCACACTGGTCGAAAGAAAAATCTAGGAAAGAGGCTATGTTAGCCTGGTGCATTCTGGAGATGTCAGGAATTCTGGAAAGATTTGAAGAAGACACAGACCATCATGTAGAATGTCCTTGATTAATGTAGAGGAGCGATCTAAACATTAGTAGCAAACATGAACAAATGCAGAGGATATACTCAAATGAGATGAATTTCAAATCAGATGATAATTTTGCCTAAGGGTAGAGTCTAGTGGCAGCCCTAAACAGTTAAAAGAGTGCAAAAAGCTGTGTGTTCAAAATCACTTTGAATATGATTTAACTGTTACTTAAAAGTGCACATAATAACATTAATATTTACTATTATTGAAATAATAACTTGGATTGAGTGATTAACCATTGTCAAACTTGCACTGTGTAACTAAATATGCGTATGCCTTAGCTCAATAAACTTCATTTTAAGAAAGTATTATGACCATTTATAGAAGAAGAAATCAAGAGTTAGCATGTAAGTAGCTTATTGAAGTTTACACAGCTGGAAAGAGGATGTGCTTGGATAAAAGCTAGGTCTGTCTTATTGGAAAACTGCCTCTGGAGTAGGGATAGAGTTGGAGAGAACAGAGGGTTTGTTTGTTTGTTTTGAGACAGTATCACTCGGTCAACCAGGCTGGAGTGTGGAGTGCAGTGGTGCAATCTAAGCTCACTGTAACCTTGGTTCAATGCAACCTTCTAGTCTCAAGCAATCCTCCTACCCTAGACTCCTGAGTAGCTGGGACTATAGACATGTACCACCATACCCAGCTAATTTTTGTATTTTTTTTTAGAGACAGGGTTTCATCATGTTTCCCAGGCTGATCTCAAACTCCTGAGCTCAAGCAATCCACCCACCTGGGGATTACAGGAGTGAGCCACCATTGCCTGGCCAGTTGGTGGAGGCTGAATGCCAGAGAACTGAGGATTAAAAGGGTGGTTAGGTGGTGGTTAAAACAATTTAAATTTCTTTAGAAACATTTGTGAAAAAGGAGTGAGATAGTATTGTAGCTTATGAAGAATCAGAATAAAATTTGTGTGTGTGTTTTTTTTTGTATTTTATAATTTTTTGCATTAAGAACGGACAAGTTTTAGTACATTTGGGACAGGGATGATGCCTAGTAAATAAAGCTTATTGAGGAGGGGTAGAAGATAAGCCAATATAAATAGATGATATGACTTTCCATAACATGACATGAAGTGAGAGACAAGGAATATTCAAAGCAAAGTATCAAAGGAGAAGAAAAGATCAGTGACAGTCATTCATTTTTTATCAGTTTTTAGATGACTCATGGACTCAGAAAGGGATGTAGTTCTTTCATTTGCGTAAGTATCACTCTTATAAATTCATTACTTACATAGATATTTCTATTGAAGTAATTTTACTTAATTCAGAACTTGCTAAATCATTTTTCTGTCAGGAAAAAATTAGGGCAACAATGAAAATTGTATATTGAGAATAAAAGGAGGAAGGAGAGAAAAGGAAATGAGAGAGGGAGCAAAAGAGAGAGGAAGAAAGGAAGACAGAAGGGAATATTATTTGTTGAATTGAATCCTGTTCTGCAAATAAAGAAGTTGAAGTCCTATCCTCTGCTGTCCATGAATGTCACCTTACTTGGAAATAGAGTCTTTGTAGATGTAATCAAATTAAGATAAGGTCATTACAGTGGGCCTAATCCATTATGATAGATATCCTCATAAGAAGGGGAAATTCGGACACATGTTGAAAGTGCCTTTGCAAAATTTATAACTTTTGCAAAATTAAACTAAGGAAAACTTGCAAAATTTGCAAATTATAACTAAGGAAATTATAACAATTCCATCTTGCCTCTAATCTCTAAACTGTCCTTATCCATTCATAGGTGTAGGCTGAACCAGCCTTGGGAAGGAATTTAGTTTATAGTTTAAAGAATAGCCCTTCTCAAAAGCTAAACTACTGTAAAACGAATGAAAGGCCACCAGCCACCAAGTTGGAATGAGAGGGGTTGGAATTCTAAATATTATCAATCATTATTCTGGAGGTCATGAGATTTGCAACTATCCCAATTACTCTTAAAGATAGCATCACTATTGTGAACCTATAATTGGCCTTTTAAGATGTCTTTTCAGGTTTTTGCATTTCTAACTACCAGATGGCCCCACCTGGACCTGCCAACCAGTTTGATGGCCCCACCCATGAACTGACTTAGCATAAGGGAACAACTTCAACTCCCTATGATTTCATCCTCAAACCAACCAATCAGCACTCCCGATTCACTGGCCCCCCTTCCCTCCAAGTTATCCTTAAAAACTCTGATCCTGAAGTTATCAGGGAGACTGATTTGAGTAATAATAAAACTCCAGTCTCTTCCACAGCCAGCTCTGCATGAATTACTCTTTCTCTATTTCAATTCTCCTGTATTGATAAATGGGCTCTGTCTAGACAGTGGGCAAGGTGAACCCCTTGGGTGGTTACAATATTAGAGACAGACATGCAGAAAAGGGAGGTCATTCAGAGACATCAAGTGAGAGGACAGCCATCTGAAGACAGAGGCAGAGACTGGAGTTCAGCTACAACAAGCCAAGTAATACCAAAGACTGTTAGATGTTAGAGGCAAGGAAGGATTCTCTCTTAAAGGCTTCCAAGGGAACAGACCCTTGGACACTTTGATTTCAGACTTGCAGTCTCCAAAACTGTGAGAGAATACATTTCAGTTGTTTTAAGCCATCCAGGTTTGGGTCCTGTTTTATCCAGGCTTTGGAAACTATTACAGACCCCCAAGTTATGAATTTCATCAGCTGTATATAAACAGAAATATTCACTTCTCTTCCCATTCAGAAGTAGAGAGCTTATTTTTTCCTCTCTTGGGAAGAAGGGGAAGGGCTCTAGATCCAAACTCAACTTTCATGGGGGAAGAAGACATTTCATTACTCTTTGAGTGGCAGCAAATGCCCCCACTATAAAGAAACCTAAGTATAGGCTCTGAGTCTGTGTCTCTCAGTCCTCGTTTTCTTATTTTTTTCTTATTAGGCCACTCACTTAGCATCTTATTACCTAAGGATCTTGGTGTTTTCCTGCCCCACATAACAGTGGATAAATGGTATAATGTTAATGTCTTCAACAAGATAAATAGTGTCAAAACTGTACCCTTAGGTATGTAGTTATATTTATTTAGAAAAAAAGTGTACATGTTTGACAATATCTGCATTAGATTTCTCTCTGGATAAAATCAATCTGTTATTTAGCTGTTCCTCTGTAACATGTTTGATGACACATAATCCCTCTTTAATTTGATTTTATCTTATATTTTCTGCCTTGGGTGTGATTTCACACCTCTGAGTAAATAATTAAAAATATCCTACCTGGGATACTGTCATATAAAGAAAGAAAATAATTATAGTATCCTCACGTGAGAGGAAAATACAAACTCGGGACCCTAGTTTACTATTCCAAAAGGAAAAAATTAAGATGGAAGGCAAATAAATCATTGAAGAAACTGCCCTTCCTTTTGTTCCTAAGCAGGTAGCTACAAATAAAGGGTTAAACATCTCCACAGGTCGCTACTCTATGTTCACCTCATCCTATGTAAAGTGCCCATTTGCTAAGCAAAAGATAAATGCCTAATGGACTATTCCTCTACATGCTCCTTTGCTCTTGCAACCACACCCTTCCTCTTTCTCCTCCAGCCCACTTATTCCCAGGAACCACAGACTGTTTCTGTGATTCTGTGCTCTTTGCTTCCAGGCATTGTGCTAGACCTTGGCAAATTGATTTGAGACCTGTCTCAGATACTTCTTGGTTTACACTCATCCAAACTAAAGGACAGCTGCTCAGAAATCAACTACCCACATCCTATCCATCATTTTTACTTTATTGTCACAGATCTCTTTAGTAGGTTAAATACTTCCACAGAGGGTGTCTTATTAGATTTTTGGCCCTTTTGTAGCCATTCTTAGCACTGTTACTGTTATTATATCCATGGTTGTTTACAATTTTTCCAAAAGATATTTTGGTAGTACGTATATTTTATGTTGTTCACATTTCTGCATTTCAATTAATATTGCCTAAATCCACAATGAGATTTTCTTACATTGAAATTCACTTTCATGAAAAGACTTACATAGTACTAATATAACTTACCATATTAAAGATAATTGTCTATGTTTTTCATTTCATGTAAATGACTTCAATTTATTCAGCACTTATCTAATTTGTTGTAACTTAGAGTGTTTATTATAAAAAAAAAATTTCACCAGATAAGATGAACATGCAGAGGTTGATTTTTTTCCAATGCTGTTACCATTAGTAGGGAAGAGAGTACAGATCAAGGCAGGGTACTCAACTCTGCTTAAGGAAGGGTGGAAGAGATTTTAAGAGCTGGTGTGGGAGGAGTTGGCTTGTAGGCAATCTGTGTTCGCTAAATGGCTTTGCCCAAAAGAAAAGAAAAGTTTGTCCTATCTTCAGGACACAAAGTAATTTTACAACTTGGAGCACCCAGGGATATTAAACCCCTACCATTTCCACAGAAGCTTGGAGATAGAGGCCCTATTTTCCTTCTACGTTTACATTTCAAATATAAAGTTTTGTGGTTCATTGAGAAAGCTATTTCCTGATGATAGAGGCAGGAGGCAGAGAAATTCTAGGCAGACAGGGGTGAGTCCCTGGCAAAACCTCAAAAGCCTGAACCCCATGACCCAAAGTGTGAACTTGTATCCCTGTTTGCCTGCTCTTTCCCTATTGGTTCTTTCTGAATAATGCCTTCTTACCAATTGAATGTTGTCTTTTCCAGAACTACTTATGGCCCACCCTATCCCCCATCCGGTGCCTATAAAGGCCTCAGACTCCATCAGTAGAGAGGTAGAAGTGGCTTGACTGAAGAGAGGCAACTTGACTTCAGAGGGACAAGTTGACTTAAGAGGAGAGATGGCTTAATTTCAGAGAAGAGTCAGCTGTAGATGACCGGACTTCAGGAAAGATTATCTGCCTATTCCATTCCCTCTTCAGCTCCCCTCTCTGCTGAGAGCCACTTCAATTACTAAATAAAATTCTCTGCCTCCACCATCATTCAAGAGTCCAGGCAACATAATTCTTCTTGGACACCAGACAAGAGCTCGGAACCCCCCGAGTGCAGGTACCTTAAAAAGGCTGTTACAGCTGCCCTTTGCCCTTGTAGAGTGGCAGCCACTCCATGTGATGAGGCAAGGGGTCCACTGAGCTGCCAACAAACCTCTGTACATGAACAGCAGAGCTAAGCGAGCATGGTAACATGCCCTCTGGGGCTTTAAGGATTGCAGGCACCCCAGCCTCAGTGCTGCCAGGGGGCCCGCCAGAGCCTGCTCTTGCCAGCACCCAAAGTAGCCAGCCAGAATCTGCACTCTTTTGCCCACACCTGGTCTGGCTGCAGGACCTGCATGGAGCTTGCCCCTACTGGCGCCCTAAGTGGCCAGCTGAATCACTTGCTCACATGCTCCCTCCCACAAGAGGTTGAGGACAGTGGGCCAAGTAAACAGGGTACCCCGTGCATTGCATGTCTGATGAAGGAGTCAAGAAAACTCCTGCATCACTGGGCTGTAAAACCGGCAAGAGGTTTTTAAAAAGATAAGCACATCTTTTAAAGGGGTGGATAAAAATATGTGATTATAAGTAAATGCTCTAAGAAAAGGGAGATCAAGAACCTCTAGCCAGGAAGAAATCTGTCTAAAATTTGGTCAATATAAGGAGAATATTAATGCCATCTTGGTCCCTTATAAAATAAAGCAACACTTTTGTTGTGTTTAGTTAATGATAGACTTGCTTCCCACTCTCTTCTGTTAAAGTCACGTGATTGTATCTAGATAAAAATGGAACAACTTTTTCCATAATCATTCGGCTTAAGAAAATCTACCCAAGCACATTTTCATATGAATTTTGTAATTGAGTAGTATGGAATCTATGTCAGTGTTACTTTAAGAACTACATGATTATATGTTGAGTAAATATGTTCAGTAGTGTTATAAAGATGAAAGTAATGATGGAAGATTGAACACTCTTAAATAATTGAATAAAATAGAGTCTAGTTATTCTGTAGCATCAGAGTTGTTATAAAAATTCTTACCAATTTACTTAAATGTCTCAGACTAGCTTCATATTATTGACACTATACAAACAAAAGTAAAGTGAATGGTGGAAGCATTGGTTTCCTGGTAGCATCAACAAACAACATTTATTAATTTTATTGTAATTAAGCAATTTTAATTACTAATCAGAAATAGATTGAATGAGATAGATAGTAATAATATAGTTGTATTTCAAAAGGCAAAACTACTCAATAGTTAAGACTAAAAATATTAATAATCTTAAACAATATTTTTTGAGAACCTATTATAGTTCAGGTATTCTTCCATAAGCTTCAAAGTCACTATCTCATTTCATTTCATTAATTTCTATGCAATAGGTTGGTAACATTCTACTCTTAAAGATGAGGATAAATGTGTATTTAAATAAGATAAAAAAAATATATCTTGTAGAGGCCAAGGGGAAAGTTTCCCTTGGCCTCTGAAGGGTCACAGGAAAATCAACTCACAAAAGGCAGATTACTTGGGGAAAAAGCATACAAATTTATTTAACATGCATACAAGGGAGGCTTCAGAGTGAAGCCCTAAGTCCTCAATGAGCTATAGAAGCACAGATACCACCTTGAAGTGACAGAAAGAATGACTGGTTGTTTCCAGGAAATTAGGTTATTACAGTGCGGAAAAGAGGACTTCTGTTGAAAGCAATAAATGATTACTGGAGGGAGTTCAATGGACTTGGAGAACATAGAATGGTCTGGGACAAAGTGCATTGATCCCACAGAACGGACAATGGTTAGTGAAAAATGTCTTTCCAGGTGTGTTGACAGACCTTAGTCGTCTTTTTTGTAATATGGGTTCAGTTAACAAAAATGCAGAGAAGAGGCAAGAGGTCATTGTTTTCTTTTGTAGGTACAGATTTTAGGTAGATAAGGGATCTTCAGAGAATTCTGTGCTTTGGGAGAAACAGTGAAAGGAACAGGAAAGGGAAACTGGCCCAGGTGTCCCAAGGAACTGATGCTAGTGGTTTCTTTTGAGTAAACATAGAAATTTCTTCTCACAGTTTTTTTTTTTTTTTTTTTAAGACAGAGTCTTGTTCTGTTGCCCAGGCTGGAGTGCCGTGGCGCAATCTTGGCTCACTGCAATCTCCGCCTCCCAGATTCATGCCATTCCCCTGCCTCAGCCTCCCTAGTAGCTGGGACTACAGGCACCCCCCACCATGCCAGGCTAAATTTTCGTATTTTTTAGTAGAGAGGGGGTTTCACCGTGTTAACCAGGATAGTCTCGATCTCCTGACCTCGTGATCCGCCTGCCTTGGCCTCCCAAAGTGCTGGGATTACAGGCGTGAGTCATCACGCCTGGCCTCTCACAGTTTTAAAACTTGAGAAAGTTAATTTGTCTTATCGGAGTTGCTTTCTCAGGAAACCACCATGAAGGCTCCCAGATAGTATGGAGGAACTGAAACTCACCAGATCATCACATCTGTACAATGAGGCTTCAGATTTCTCACCCATCATGATGGCCAAACCAACCAGCCACTTCCTGTTAACCAAATCCTTTTCCTTACCCTTCCCTAATTCCTGTTTTCCTGCATGTAGTTATATTTCTTCCCTTCTATATGAACCCCTGATTTTAGCTGTTCAGGAAGATGGGATTGAGACTGATTCCCATATTCTTGGCTGCAACACCCAATTAAAGCATTCTTTCTTGGCAAAACTTTTTGTCTCAATGATTGGGTTTCTGTGTGGTAAACAACAGAACCTAGACCAAACTCATGATGTTTCAGTAACAAGAGGTCAGAGAGATCTTGAGGCTCCTTTTCAGTTCAGCATGTACAAAATGCCATGTTTTGGGCTATCAGTTTCTGAGCCTTGACAAAATCATTAGACTAGAGTAAGCATGGCAGATGTAGGTCAATTACAATTAAGGAAAAATCTAGAAACGTAGTAGTTCATACAAAAACTTACCATCTGATAACAAAAGCACCAAATGAGAAGCAATTAGGGGAAATGGAATTTTTGAAACATTCTATAAGAAAAATTAAGTATTTAAAAAACTTTGAGTTATTGTAAACTTCACTTGTTTTACACACACCAAAAAAAAATGAACTCAAAAGCATTGAGAGTAAAATGTTAAGCAAACAAACCAAAGCAAATAAACAAACTGGGGGAGGAGTACAAATGAATATTAAGTTTATGTGTGGTATAAGAGTCCTCTCTTTATAAAAGCAAATTGAACAGGTCACAAGTAAAATGATGTGATTCAAGTTATATTTTATGCTTCCATAATATACACTACAATAATAAAATTAAAATAATTAAAAGCTATAAAAATGGAAGTGGGTGAATATAACAAACGATTAATGTAATTAATTTGATCATTTAATTATACCAATATATTCTTTTCACTTTTCTTTTAATATTCATATAGTAAAATGCATCTTTTCTTGGTGTTTACAGCCATGAACTTTAGAGCATGCATAAATTCTTTTAACCACCACCACAAATAGGATATTTCCACCCCACAGAGAACTCCTTTGTAATGCATCTTGCATTTAGTCCCTTCTCATACCTTTAATTCCTGGAAATTCTTAATCTGTTTCCTGTCTCTGTAATTGTGCTTTTTCCAAAATGTTATATAAACAGAATCATATCATATATAACCTTTTGAAACTGGCTTCTTTCCCTTAGTATTTAGGATTCCTCTGTGCTTTTAAATGTATTAATTGTTCCCTTTTTATTGCCGTATAGTGTTTTTCCTATTGTATGAAAGTACCACACTCTATCAATTCATGTTTTGAAGAACATTTATGTTACCCCTAATATTTGGCAATGGTGAATACTGCTTATATGTGCAATTATATAAGGGCTTAGCATCAATATAGTTTTCTTCAGGCTGGTCTAAACTCCTGGCCTCAAGAGATCTGCCTGCCTTGGCCTGACAAAGTGCTGGAATTACAGGTGTGAGCCACCACTCCTGGCCTACTTATTTTTTATTGATCCACCTTTTATTAGAAATATTTTTATTAGAAATATTTATTAGAAATATTTTTATTAGAAATATTTATTAGAAATATTTTTTATTAGAAATATTTAGTTGGCCAATTACCATGGTACCTATACAAGGTATACAATGTGATGATTTTGATAAATGTATATGTCATGTAATGATTACCACAATCAAATTGATTAATATATTGATCAATACCCAGTTACCATTTGTGTGTGTGTGTGTGTGTGGTAACACTTAAAATCTGCTCTTTTATCAAATGCCAAGTAAACAATACAATATTATTAACTATAATTATATTATAGTTATAACTATATTAACTATAGTTATAATATATAATAATATAGTTATATTATAGTTATATATATAGATATATTATAACTATATTAACTATAATCTCCATTTCGTACATTAGAATCCCAACCCTTTGATTAACATCATAGAGTATTGTGTAAGTCAAGAATGGCTTTTTTTGTTTGTTCTGGCACATTTGTAGCAATGACTGTCTTTCACCTTTCAGAATACTGGCAACTTTTAAAAATCAATCAACCATATTTGTGTGGATTTATTTCTGGACCCTCTATTATGTTCCATTGATTTATGGGTCTATCCTTTCACTAACACCGTATTGTCTTGATTAATGTATCTTTATAGCAAATCTCAAAATTGGTTAGTGTAATTCTTTCAGCTACATTTTTCTTTTTCAAAACTCCTGATCATTCTAATGCTTTTACCTTTTCATATAAATCTTAAAGTCAGCTTATCTATATCTACACAACTTACTGCTTGTGTTTTGATTAGGTTTTGTTAAATCTGTAGATCAATTTTGGGAGAATTAGCATATGAACTGTACTGAGTCTCCCAATTTATGACCCTTTTGATTTTTTCCAACAGTGATTTCAGCATACAGATCTTGCACATGTTAGATTTATCCCTAAGTATTTCATGTTTTGGAGCTATTGTAAATTGTACTGTTTTGTGTTTACCAATTATATTTATTACAGA